GGGTGGTCACAAAATATGGTTCACTGCCAATACACGAAAGTAGTGAAGTGGCTGAAATAAGAGTGGCAGCGGATGTCTCGTCGAAGAACACAAACATTACCGAGTTATCCAAAAAGTACACGAAACAGTTCACTGGAGATGGAGAGTGATAAGTCGTGTGGATTGAACGCTATATTAGTTTCCTAAGCTATTCCGGTAACCTGCAGTCTAGAACTACACAGCGACTTGAACACCAGAGAGAAGACACAAGTATGAGAGAAAATACTTTGTCCCAAGGTTCATTTTATTACAGAAAATATAGGGTTTTTATAATATATCTAAATGTCCCTGTGTCGCTGGAATATTCTGGAACGCTACTAAACATAGTAGCACTGTAGTAGCCAACCAATCAGAGCTTCCGCATGTGACGTTTAGCTACCTTGATATTTTTGGCCAAAACTCCAAATGAACGCTGATTGGACGAAACACTTCTTAGTGTTTCTTGATGCTTGCTTGTCTTTTGCGAGCGACTTCTGTATCACCCCAACACCTCCACCCTTTCGAAAAAGAAAACCTCTTCTCCGGGTCTACTTGCAGCTTGATACTGGTTTCGATATCTTGGTTCATCGTAGCATAGTATGCGTAACTTCGAGCCAACGCTTTCATCTTATTGATACCAGGATGACCGCTGTGGAATCGTCTCAGAATCTTATAGCGTGAAACATTTGGGACAATAATTCTGTCACCAAACATAATACATGCGTCGACCATCATAAGTGAGTTCCGTCGGCGAAAATATTGTACCATCTCTCCTTGAAAACGACGGCTCGGCCACTTGGTGAGAAGATAACAACTAACTTCTCTTAAAGTCTTGTCATTCTCCGTGGCTTCTTTGATGGCCATCAACTGCGTCTTCCAAAACTCGATGTACTTCTGTTTCCGCCCCGATTGCTGCCACCAAAGTGTCTTCTTCCCGTTTTACTTGTGAGCTAATCAGTCTAGATAAAGCGTCAGCTTGTCCAAAATCAGTAGTGGGCTGATACTTGATCTTGAAGTCATAACCCAAGAGTGTAGTTCCCCAACGTTGCAGTCTATTTGCAGTGTATACAGGTATACCTTTCTTCGACCCAAAGATGGCTAGTAATGGTTTATGGTCAGTTAATAGGGTGAACTGACGTCCAAATATCATCTTGTGAAGTTTCTTGACAGCGAACATAATCGACAATGCTTCCTTCTCGGTCTGACTATAGTTAGAAGCATCTGAAGCGACGACTATCGGCAGCGAAGGATCATAATGTGTCAATAAGAGATTGGAAGTCAGGAGTTGCTCGATTTTCTCGAAAGACGCTTGGCAGTCTGCAGACCAATCCCATCTTGTATTCTTTTGTAGTAGGTTGTTTATTGGAACACGTAGACGATGGAGATCGGGGAGGAAGGTACCATAATGGCTGACCAATCCCAAGAATGATCGTAGGATAGTAATGTCCCTAGGTCTAGGCATTGTTTTCACTGCTTCAATGTTCTCTCGATCTCGTCGTCTTCCGTATTTATCTATTATGAACCCAAGGTACCGTACTTGCTGCATATAGAAGTCACACTTTTCCGCTCGGAGGCGAAAACCATAATCGGCTATGCGCTCTAGTACCTGGTCCAGTTTCTCCTGCAGGTCCATTTTTTCTACTGCCATAATTATGATGTCGTCTAAGTAGGCTGCTGCCTCTGGAATACCTTGTAACATGGTACCCATAATTTGCTGGAAAATAGAGGGCGTTGTCTTCACTCCAAAAGGTAGTCGGTTATACCGGTACAGACCTTTGTGTGTGTTGATCGTTAAGAGATCTTTGCTTTCATCCGATACAAGGATTTGTTATTATGCGTTTGATAAGTCCGATTTTGCAAAATATCTGCCACCGTTCAGCTTAGCGAAGAGATCTCCCGGTAAGGGCAACGGATACTGGTAGGACTCTAGAGCTTCATTTAATCCCGTAGAGTAATCTAAATGTCCTTGTGTCGCTGGAATATTCTGGAACGCTACTAAACATAGTAGCACTGTAGTAGCCAACCAATCAGAGCTTCCGCATGTGACGTTTAGCTATCTTGATATTTTTGGCCAAAACTCCAAATGAACGCTGATTGGACGAAACACTTCTTAGTGTTTCTTGATGCTTGCTTGTATTCTGCGAGAAATTTCTGTACCACGCCAACAGAGAGCCGTATGGATTTGGTGACAAAATACAGCACGAAATCCCGATAAACAACCACCGAGTAAATATATTTGCAACACGTCGTGTCCCGATGCATTTAGAAGCTGAGGTAAATCGTCAGGTCCAGGAAATGTTGAAAGAAGGTATAAATGAGGAAGCGGACAGTTCACCGGTACTCTTGGTAAAGAAACCAAATGGAAGGTATCGATTTTGTGTCGACTTCAGAGAATTGAATAATATAAGGGACGTGAAACCTTGTGCAATACCAACAGTGTTGGAAACATTAGATCGACTACAAAATGTCGCGGTGTTTACAGTGCTGGATTTATGGTCAGGTTATTGAAAACTGCTTATAAAACAGAGCGATCAGAGCAGAACAGCGTTTACTGTACGTGATAAACAGTATCAGTTTAAACAAATGCCGTTCGGGTTGGCGGGTGCACCGTTCACGTTCAGAAGGTTAATGACACTACTGCTCAAGAATCTAGATAATGTCGAGGTATATGGCGACGATGTAGTTGTGTACAGTCAGACAGAAACAGATCATGTCAAGCACGTGGAAGCGGTCTTAAAGCGAATTGACGAATTTGGACTTCGAATTAATAAGGACAAGTCGCAGATAGCGAGAAATAGCGTCACGCTGTTGGGACATAAAGTGGGAAATGGAGAAATAAAACCATTGCCGGAGAAAATTCTTACCATAGAAAATATTGCAGTACCTATTTCGAAAAGGAAGTTGAGACAGTTCCTGGGAAGAGCGGCGTTCTACAGTCGGTTTGTCAAGAATTTCAAAGAAATAGCAGCACCCCTATATAAGTTGTTGTGCAACAGCAGGTTTACGTGAACTGAGACTGCCAAACCAACGTTCAACCGAATCAAAAGCACGCTAAATCTCAGCACGGATTCAGAAAGCTCGTTTGGCTTTTGCCAACTTGTGTCACCTCTGGCGAAGGAGAGATATTTGTCTATCAATTAAGGGACAAATATGCTGTGCAGCAGTTCCTTCTGTTCTACATTATGGCTGCGAAATATGACCATTAAGTATAGAAGATACTCGAAAGCTACTAGTATCTGACCACAGATGCCTTAGAAATATTGCTGTCATCTGCTGCGATCATCGGGTAAGTAATAGTGAGGTTAGACGCAGGGTATTAGGGGATGATGGTGAATCAGTTGATGAGGTTATGAATCTTCATCGACTGAAATGGTTGGGTCACGTGTTACGTATGCATGAACACTGATTACCACAACGTGCAATGTTGACAAGTGTTTGGGATGGTTGGAAGGAAGTTAGGGGTGGCCAAACGAAAACTTGGCATCACTCCTTGAAATCACAAAATTCTGATGTGAGCCATGTTGGTAGATAAAGACTACTTGGTTGGTGTCCGTGTCACTATCATAACCAATGGTTGGAGATTGTGGGTGACATGACTCAGAATCGACCGATCACAATGGTATGGGTGTATACACACTCTGTCTACCCTTAAACTGTGAGATTGAAATCGCCTCATATCTTTCTGTGTACCAACTAATTCTTTCTTTCTGCAATATATCCTTACATAAAATCTTTCTCTTATATATTACCACGATTGAGTTAACTACTTCTATGAATCCTGTGTTGGTCTTGTTGTGATAATGAGGTATGGCGACTTGAGCCGATACATATATGTGCCTGATCCTACTTTGTAGGTGGCTGACTGACTGACTTATGCATTTTATTCGCTAGTTCAACATACTTTCACACTCAAGTAGTCAGTTGGGGTTGTAGCGCGTAGCAAATCGTTTATCAGTATCAGATTTCGGACACCGCCCCTTACAATATATATGGACTGGACTGGAAACACGTTGGTTTCGAGAGGTAGATTCATAATAGTCTATTAATTCATAGTAACTAGTACCACGTTCACTAGTCAACAGTGCATCCACTAATATAAATGATCTGATGTTGAAGTTTTGTTTGTCCGATTTAAGACGTTTGAAGATAATCAACTAATAGTCCTAGATCTAAGTTTCATCCTTTCCAAAACTTATTATCTGACTTTTTGACAGGAATGATATTCTTATAAGTTTCTATCCGACATCACTGAGTGTTACAAATGTAGTATTCATTACACGACAGACCTTATGTAAAAGTATGACATTCACACTAAGTGATAGAATTAGATCATGTAAATAAAAAATATTTATATAAGAAGGGATCTTTGTGGATATTATAGTATTTTCAATAGTTCAATTCATGAGTAAATTGAAGCTAAACCTCCATGGAAAACATGAAAGCATTGGATAGCCATTTTGTCCTATTATGGAACTCCTTAACACTGCGTATCCACAATCCAGAGACTGATATGTCCTGGGTTCAAATCTTGCGAGGAGAGATATCTTATCGATACTGACCAGTCAAACTATTAGGTATTACTCTGTTATAGACTCTAACGAATTATATATATATTATTTTCTAAACATATAACAATATATCAGAAGGGGTTTTGTGGAGATTTTTAGAAATTTCACTGATTGAAATCATGAGTCAATTGAAGCTAGACCATCATGGTTTAGTTGGCTAAGCGCCTGGCATGAGACTGACAGGTCATGGGTTCGAACCTCACGGGGTGAGGGATCGTGGATGCGCACTGCTACTGAGGTGTCCCATACAAGGACGTAACGGCCGTCCAGTGTTTCCAGGTTTTCCATGGTGATCTAGCTCCAATTGACTCATGATTTCAATCAGTGATATAACAATTTATTAACGACGACGACGGGAGGTGGGGAGAGGTAGAAAAAACAAGAGAGTAAAACAAAGAATTAATTATTTTTCTTTCAATTTCTTCGTTGATTCGAATTCGATCGACTTTTTGAACTAGATTTTGAACTTCTTGATGATTTAATTCTTGTGCTTTTTTTTACATTTTCAATTCGATTTAGAATTGGTTCTGTATTATCATGTTCAATCATTGTTTGATTGCATGATGTTTCTTTATCATTTTTATATTGTTTTATTATATTATTTCTATAATTCATAGTCTTCGAACCACTTTAATTCTTTGGGTTTTTTTGTAATATATATATTTCTGAAGTACATTCAAGATTCGTTCAAAGGTCGTCCATAGAGTCTCGTCAATAAGAGATATAATCAAAATATTAAAAAAAGTAAATAATGATGAGTTGAAGATCAACTAGAAACTAATCAACATCAAGATCTAAACGAATAAGCTATGAGTTATATGTGGGGAAATGTGAACATTTCATTACTGATGATAACGTTCAGAAAAGCGACGAAATCTCCCTAACCAAATGATTTAGTTTACTGAAGAAAACTTCATCTAGAATATTTAATAAAACAAAAACTGATGAGACTATAATTTATAGATGACCCATTTGGAGTTAAGAATAGGAAATCTTGGATTTTGACATGAAATTCATTCATTGATTTGGTTAAATACTGTTATATCCAAGTGAACATTACATTACGAGTAGCGTCTGAGATCTATTAATGGACTAATATTATTCATATATTCTTATGGTATAGATATTCAGTAACTAGACTGTGTATATCCATATTCCCCCTGTTATAAGCTTCATTTCAACCTATAGATTATTAGTATATGGTTTATTGTTCTTAAGCTATGTTCAGTTTATTAACCACTGCCTCCCACGTTCATAGCCACATTTTTGACCTTATTGTGTATGTTATTTCCTATTTTATGGTGTGTTGCAGTATGTTTGTTTGATATATAAACTCAGTATGTCTGAAATGAATGATTCACGTAGTGGAGGCTGTAGTTGGCATTCTGGACTCAGCTGAACGGGTTAGGCGAACAACCAACCAATAGGACGCTAGGCTGATCAGACCGGTTGGATGTCATTAGTTTAGTACAGAACACGGGCGAATAAGTCATATTTTGATTGGGAAATAGGTTACGTGATAACTAGCCCAGCATAAAGACATAACAAATACCATTTTGATATTATAGCTGATGTCAATTCATGATGAAAATACTAAATCTAGTTCCTAAGTCTAACATTCAACTGTAAGTGCTAATCCTCATTCCTCAATCTAATTTATAACTCTCATTTAACTTTAGTAAATAGGTGAATATTGTCAAGGTCATTTTAGCGTTTCTTAGAGGTTGTCCATAAATTATAGTCTCACCATTGAATTCAGTAGTATATTAAGGCTAATCTGTATGGATACATGACCGTAGTCTTTTTAAAATTGTCAGGTAATTTTTGTGCTTAACTGTAATATTGCCCATGAATGCCCTGGTATGGCCGAGGGTGAGTATAGTCATCTCTCCCTCTCGAAATGCGCTCATATGGTCACGCGTACACAGCCACTGTCAGGGAAGTCCTACTCACTGTTGTTTACGAAATTGAGATGATGAAAAGCGAATGTCCGGCGCTTTAACTGGCTTGATGGACAAGGAGAGTCCACCTAGGGCAGTTGGAAAACCCTGATTCCGAAACAATTTTGTACATGGGCTCCAGGATCCTAAGGAAACAAATGGCATATGAACCTATTGTTGATCACCGGCTACCATGATAATGCAAATGTTTTAATAGGTTAACATAAAGACTAAGAATGAACTACAAATTTAACTAGAATATCTGATTCAGTATTTGCTTGTATCTACCATTTATATAAGATGTTTTGTGGTTTTTCAGCTGGTTGGTCGTTAAAACAATAAAGATAAACCATCTAACGCATAATATATGTAAGTATTTATGTTCTCTCGTTGACATTAATGTTAAGGATCAAACTGATCAATCTCTTTTAGAGTATGTACACCTTCAGAGAACTTCTTATATAGTTCTATTTAGTTGCAAGATTGAAATAATGTTATATAATAGTTGGCAATGGGACCTAGAAAGTGAATTTTGTTCTATGCAGGACTCCTAGATTAGGTTTACTTGCATTGAGTGTTAATGTTGACACTAAGACTGTCAACTAGTATCTTTCCAAAGGTACCTAACCTTTGTATACATCTGATCGTTCGTTTAGTTATCTGATTGTCACACACACACACAAAACAGTCGAACTTTAAAAGATATTTTATTTGTTACAAGTTAATACTACCCAGTGAGCTGTCAAAAATTATACAGCACTGAATAACTATTCTATTCTCGGACAGTATCATTCAACTTACAATCGAGCTTATAACATTTAGTTCACATGATAAGATATCTTTTGACCATTGAAATCCACTGTCAATAATACACATTTGCAAATCTAGTCAATTCTCATGACTTAGCAACTAACTTTGGTGGTCCAGGTTCTGACTCCTGTTGAATCGCATGAGTGTGTAGTGGCTGGTCCTATGTCAAGCCCACATTGCTTATTTTAGCCTCTGGACAGGTCAATTTAACGGTTCTTCTTGAGTCACGTTTTCAACTTGTTAATTATTTACTTATCAACCTTGACTGTTTCTATATGGGTGTATATATATGTGTGTGTACACTTCTTATCCGACTCATCATATGTCTGTAGCTTATTTTTGTGTGACTATAAATATTGATTAACGCTTGGTTAAATAGAGTTGACTTTTGTACATTCTCCACACCTCATCATTTTGCTTCGTCGCTCTGAATGACTGCCCAGATCAGTGAGTGTACAAATATATATATATTCAAAATCCATTCACGTATTTGACTTATATAATTCCGTTAATCACTAACGTAGATGAAGTTGATAATTATACACGACAATTGGCAACATGTATGTTTCAACAGCAATCAATCATACGTTCCAACTGGAGTCAGATCTGGGGCCACTAAAAATGTTATCGAAATATATATCCTGGCTTTCCTCGTAGATAATTAACAATTTAACTCGCGTTAGCGACATGAGGGAATTAAAATAAGTTCAATACGAGAAAGGATTTCGAATATGTATATTTCATACAATCGTTAATCTGGACAGACATTCAGAGGAACGATACAAATAGAAGAGAATGAAGTGAAATGACACACAGTGGAGAAGGAGTGTAAGCCAACTCCATTTAACCAAGCCTTAATCAATAGTTATAGTTACACAAAAATAAGCTACAGCCATGTGATGAATAAGATAAGCAATGCCCACTCATACACTCATATACAATCAGTCAAGGTTGTTAAGGGAATAAGTCAAAAGGTCTAATTAGCCTGTTCATCCAAAGTCTAAAATAAGTTTTATTAGCTTAATTATCAGTATAAGGGTAGTGGAGATTATTAATTCATTGATTGAGTTCATGAACCAATTGATGTTAGACCACCATTAGATACCTAGAAGCACTGGAAGGCCGTTTCATCCTATTGTGGCACTGAGTATTGCGCATCCACACTCCCGCTCACGGAATTCAAACCTAGGGCCTTCAGTCTCGCGCGCAAACACTTAACCTCTAGACCACAGAGATCTTCATCATCCAATAGTGTTAATCTCCACAAAACCTCTTCTGATACTAATAAACATATTCTCATTGGTGACTGACTTCATGAGGTTTATCCTAGAGTTCTAGTGAGAAGCAATGACCAGTGGAGTTCAACTGGATCTGTTATGAAATAGTAACTCATTGATGACAATAATGGAATGATATCACTAATTAGAGAACAGTGAATTATCGATCGGACCAATAACGTATTAAGCACTGAAATTAGCACCATAACCTTGAAATCTCTTTTAAACACCTTTGATTGACTCATTCATCAATTAGTTGTTATATTATATTAATCACAATGATGAATCATACTTACTTGAATTGTTTTCAATAAATCAATATAATTTTGTTTATATTGATTTTGTTTGTTTTTAAAATTTAAATATTTAAATTTTAAATTTTTTAAATAATCATTAAATAATTGATATTTGAATTTTAAAATTTCATTTAAATTTTTATAAGATAAACATTGAATTTGTTTTAAAGAATATTCTAGAATAAACCATGGATTCATTGAATAAGCATTCATAATAGATTGAACTTGTTCAATACGTTTACATTCAATCTCATTGAAATGATGATAAAATTTGTTTAAATTCATTAATTGAATTGGATAAAGTGTACGATTTAATTCTGGTGGGAATTTTAAAATATAAATTTTAGATGGATCTAATAATAAAGTGTGATCTAATGGAGAATGATCTTTTATAATTTGTATTAGATTATCTAAAGAAAGAAAGAAAGAGAGAGAGAGAGAGAGATGGAGAATTTTATTAAAACAAAAGAAAATGAATTGATCAACAAAGTGAAATCTAATTTAACGCATGTTTCGTCTTTTTGTGAGATTCGTCAATTGTTCATATCCATGATTTACGATTTTGCTTCATGTTAACTTCAGGTTATAGAATAAGTTATCCATGTATTGATAAATTATTTAGTGATGTTTTAAAGTTGAAAGAAAACAATGAAACCTTTTTGAGAAAAAAGTGAGTAGGATTTGTTATATCCGAGCGAAGATAAAATCACGAGTACTGTCTGAGACAAATTAACTGACTAATCTATACATTCTTATGATATAACTATTCAGTAATTGGATATAAATCGAATGTTCGAGTTCCCTAACTGAAGCAGGTGGGTTTCTCAGGGGGTCATAACCAGAGCCTTTAACCTAAAGATCTAATCCACAAGACGGTGGAGTAACTTTAGGAAATGCAGTCTCATGTTAGCTGGTTACCAACAATTGATTCATATGCCATTTGTTTCCTTAGGATATTGGAGCCCATATGAATCATTGGTTTGGAATCAAGATGTTGCCACTCCCCTATGTTATATCCGAGAGAAGATTAAGTCACCAGTAACTTCTGAGACCTATTAATGGACTAATATTATTTATATATTCTTATGGTATAAATATTCAGTAACTAGACTGTGTATATCCATATTCCCCCTGTTATAAGCTTCATTTCAACCTACAGATTATTTGTATATGCTTTATGGTTCTTAAGCTATGTTTAGTTTATTAACCACTGCCTCCCACGTTCATAGTCACATTTTGGCGTTACTGTGTATGAATGTTATTTCCTATTTTATGGTGCGTTGCGGTCTGTTTGATTGATATATAAACGCAGTATGTCTGAAACAAATGATTCGATTCGATTTGCATAGAGGAAGCTGATATTGGTGTTCTGGACTCAAGTGGATGGACTAGGCGGATATAGGACCAATAAGGACGCTAGACTGCCTATACCGGTCGAACGTCATTGGTTTTGGCACAGTGCGAAGATGTATAAGTCGTATTTTGATTGGTGGATAAATCACATGATAACTAGCCGGATATAAAGTCATAATAGGAATTGTTGAATTATTACTTCTTCAAATGATACAGATGTGAATTTAACAAGGAATTGAATGATTGAGTTTTCATGCCAGGGTCGTAACTACAGTGCAATGTGAATATTATTACAAACAAAATACTTTCCTAATAAAAACACTGGTAAGAGTAGGGAGAAATAAGCGTTTGAATAAATGAACGATTCAAGATGTAAAAGAGAAGAGGTGAATGAATATATTGGCTTCATGAAGGTTCATTTTCATTTTAACAGTTCAGTTAATTATTATTTCAAAGTTCTTACAAGTTTTCAAATGACTATTTATAATTTTCTGTGATCAACTCTATGTCTTACGATGTTCCTAGTTAATGTTCAATAAGACAAAATATTACAATTGATTGATCATTGGGTGATGATCAATGTTATGTATGTCAGGTCCTTCTTAGTAAAGATTGAATCCTATCGACCAATTTGTAATGTGGCCATCAGTCTAGGTGATTCGACATAACGTGCACTATACAACTTGATCGATAAGATTCGATCTGCACTAAAATCCACCTGACATAAATGACATTGATCACTACCCAGTGACCAATCAATTGTAAATACATTTCAGTCATACAGGAGCTCGGTCGAGGCCCAGATAGCTCAGTGGTTACGTCTCTAACTATGAAGCTGGGTGTCACGGGGTCGAATCTGCCAGGGAGCATCAGTCTACTCAAGATTACAGGTACATCTTGCTGACAAGTGCCAAGTAGCACGAAACCTAGGTCAAGGGGTTCCTGTTGACTACTTCCAACCACCATCTTATCTCAATATGATATCACTTCAGCCTAGTACGTGCACAGAAATATATGTCTGAGTATTCGTAATACATATATTAGTAATGTTATTTCATAATACTAGTGACTTCCCCATTCGTCTTTAGGTTGTGGGTAACAGCTGACTGAATGTTCTAGGAATTCAGATTCGACAATATTGACAATTATCAGTCAGAACTCTTTCATACTCACATTTATAAAGTTTGTGAATTTCAAATGGACATGTTCGAATTCTGTACAGTTTGAAACCTACAAGGTCAATCAGTTCCATCAAGACTACAGACATGCTTAGTTTATGAGTAATGGTTGAGTTGAAACTTAGATTAAACAAGGTTTCTTGATGACAACACATACAACCAACAATAAAAAAAGGTTGATTGATTCACACAACTAACCATCAGATTTAATTGTGATCGTCGATCCTGAATCATCTACAATAGTTTTATTATCCAATTTATTCATTAGACCATATTCTTCAAGATAACGTGCTCTTGATAATTCAGCTCTTATTGCTCTACCAGGTTCCATTTCTTCCCAAGCTCTTTTTAAAGCTTTAATTTCTAATATTTTATTATCCATATTAATGATTTTAATGTCATTCTAATAAAATAATAAGAAAGTAGAAACATTCTATAAACATAAAAGCAGGCAAATCAACAACATTCTATCCTTTCACTCAATTTCTATTCTCCAGAATTAATTATAAATAGTATTGCTTAATGATTCTTACTTACTTACTTACTTACGCCTGTTACTCCACGTGGAGGAGCATAGGCCACCGACAAGCACTCTCCATCTAAACCTGTCCTGGGCAATCCTTCCCAGTTCTTTCCAGTTGTTATTCATATCTGTTTATATTTCCCAACGTAATGTGTTCTTTGACCTTCCTCTTTTCCACTTCCCTTCAGAACTCCAAGTTAACGCTTGCCCCGTGATGCAGTTTGATGATTTCCAAAATGTATGTCCTATCCACTTCCAACGTCTTTTCCTAATTTCTTCTTCATCTGGAAGCTGGTTTGTTCTCTCCCACAAAAGGCTGTTGCTGATGGCATCCGGTCAATGTATGTTGAGTATCTTGCATAGACAACTATTTATAAATACTTGTACGTTTTTGTTGATGGTTGTAGTAGTTCTCGAAGTTTGAGCTCCGTATAGTAGAACTGTGTTGACGTTCGTATTGAAGATTGTGACTTTGATATTGGCTTACAGACAGTTGTTTTGAGTTCTATATGTTTTTCAACAGCAGGAATGCGGCCCTTTCTTTGCCGATCCTCACATTTACGTCTGCATCGAATCCTCTTTGTTCATCGATGATGCTTCCCAGGTATATGAAGGATTCCACATCTTCCAGAGTTTCACCATCAACTGCAGCATTACTCTGAATGAAAAATCTATTGCATGATCATTGTAGATAATCTGAAAACGTTTCAATTGCTATGGTGAAAGCAACAATAAACAATCAACGTTAGTTACAAATAACAAAAGGAAGAAACAGCCCAGTTCAATATGACAGTTATACCAACCAATAAAACGAGAACTCATGATCTCAAATATTAAGATTACTGTAATATCTATAAAAACCCCTTCTGATAATAATCAATATACGCTCACTAGTGACTGGTTTCAAAAGATATTTCATGAAGTTCTAGTGAGAAGCAATGACCAGTGAAGTTCAACCGGGTCTGTTGTGAGATAGTAATTCACTGAAAACAATGGTGAATATGTCGCTGAATTTCTTGGATTAGTTGAAGTTAGACGTTAAGACTGTTGGATGCTGGTCGGCTCAGTGACCTAATGGCTAAGCGCTCGCGCGCGAAACTGATGTGTCCTGGGTTCGAATCTCGCGAGGCGGGATCGTGAATGTGCACTGTTGAAGAGTTTTATGCTATGACAAAACGGCCGTCCAGTATTCCCATGTTTTCTATGATGATCTAGCATCAATCCACTTATGATCTCAACTATTAAAATTATTATAATATCCACAAAACCCTTTCTGATATTAAAACGAGAACATGCTTTTTTCAACTGACTAGTTAGATAAAACACACAGTATTAGCATCCCGAACTACAATACGATTGACATTTATAAATGTATACTTGAATTCATAAGTCAATTATATCTAGACTACCATGGAAAACATGGAATTACTGGATGGCTGTTTCGTCCTAATATAGAACTCCTCAGTAACTCACTGACGATAATAGTAGACGATGGGGTAATTTTGTGAATTGGTTAAAGTTAGATATTTGTAATGTTCTACTAACAACTATGCATCTGTAGTGACCTACTTTTATCAAGAGAACGCGATTGGTTTAATGAAAACAATTATTACTATAACCAATTGTACCAATGATTATTTTACTGTGCTCGTTTGTTTAACTGTGCTAAAGATAGCCTTACTGCTCTTCCGTTATTCTCCATTACTGTTTCGCGGTTCGTGACTCCGTTCGCACGTACTCTCTTCAGCCGATTCCGCTTGTACCTTTTCTTAGCACGATCTCGGTATTCATTCGATACCACGAGATCATCAACGAATAAATTTGGTTACGTTCAACCTTCGCCTTCTGATTTATTTGGCGCGTGTTTCTTTGTAGTGGTGTTCATAGTCAATTGGGACTCGACATCACGCTACACATTTATTAACACAAAATAAAATTGACTACCTTTAGAAAAATTGTTATAAATAAACAACAGATAAACATCGAAATAGTTCCACTTAAGAAACATACTATTTCTAAGAATAAATCTTACAGAATTATTACATATTATTCTCATTTTCCAATGAGCTTGATTAAAATCAATTTTTGCTGAAGTACCACGTGTAGAACCAGATTTTTGACCAGTGATACCAATTGTTTTGTTTCCAGGTGATTTTGTTGCTGATTTAATAGTTCTACTGTCAGAACTTTTATCAGCTGAAGTATTTCGAGAAGTTGTATTATTTACTGAAAAAGTAAATCAATGAATGAACGATGATTAAGACAAATGATATTCTATTATTGTAGTACTTTCTTATAATGAGGTGATGCTTAATTGGTTAAACCATTTATATCACTATTAATAAGTTGAGATACACTTTCTAAAAACTTGGCCAGTCTACAATATGAAACCAGAGACCAAATATATTCTGGAGACTGAAGGCCCTGGGTTCGAATCCCGCGAGAGGAATCGTAGATGCGCACTGCTGAGGAGTCTCACAACAGGACGAAACGGCCGTCGAGTGCTTCCAGGTTTTCAATGATGGTCTAACATCATCAATCGGTTCATGATCTCAATCAAAACGTAACAATCTCCACAACCTCTATACTGATATATCCTGGAAAGTTGAATTCCCACAATAATTCGAATAGTAATTGACACAAACCTATAGTACATATATGTGTCAGGGCTGACCGAAATAGATGTGTGCAAGGAATTTTTTGGTCCGATGAATAATGCACTGACATACAAGAGTCTATTCACACATCCATTCATCGCTTGTTATGAGATCTTTCAACAGCTAAACATATTGGAATCCTTCTTCACCTTCTTCATTTCAGGAAGCTAGGTCGTTTCACTAGCATATGCAATGTGATTCAAAGCCGAGTCCGTAAACAAATATTTAGTAAATCAGTTACCTAAACATGAAAAAGCTTTTTTTGATTTAAATGATGTAATTATAAGCATTTTTTAGACAAACATGTCTGCAACTCTGGACGTTCTTACTTCTTCATCCAATTTCAGAGTCGAACTAGACAATATGATATTAGTTGATTTACAACATATCAATTTTGAGCGATTTTCATATTTCTGAGCTTGATGTTTAGATCATGAAGCTTTCCTTGGTTTTTTAAATATCCACATAGTACAAACTTGAAATATTCATTACATCATCTGGTCTACAGAATGCGATAAGATTGAAACTCATTTTCTGTCTCACAGATCTCCAAAATACCAAGTCAGTTTATCAACCTATCGTGTTTCAATATTCTGTCATGTTAAATGACTGTATTATATGTTTCTAACAGTTGGTCAACCCAACTATTCAGTGAGAGAAAAAATAAACTGACTAAGAAGCTGTGTCATCATCTGGTCCATGATGAGGGCGTGGGTTCGAATCCCACCTCCAACACATACTTAGGCCCCCAAATACGCTCGTACGGCTTAGAGTGAGGAGAGTAAGCTCTCCCTTTTGAAATGCTCTCAAGTGGCCACGTGCATACAACCACTGTCGGGGAAGTCCTACTCCCTGCCTTCTCGTTGCATTGCTATTGTTTACGAAATTGAGAGGGCGAAAAACGAATATCCGGTACTTCAACCGGGTTGGTTTACTCGGGAGTTTGAAGACCATGGTTATAAATCAGTGGCGTACATGCGTTCCAGGATCCTGAAAAAACATATGGTGTATGAACTAATCGTTGGTCACCGGCTACCATGAGAATGCATCTCCTTACTTTGCTCCACTGCTTTGTGGATCAGACCTTCAGGTCGAAGGCTCTGGGCGTGGCCCCATAACAAAACCACTTACTTCGGTTTTGGAACCCGGGTAGTATCACAACCCTCCAATAAATCAAGTGAGATTTATGTGTTTAAATAAATAAATAAATAAGCTGTATCATCAACTTCCAAATAATTTATTAACAAACTTTACGTATTTATAGGTTTAGAACAACATAGATATAAGCGAACAATATTGTTTTCGATTAGATCCTCATCAGGCGTTACTCTAATATACAGTAATATTTATATGCAACATATACGAAATTATCAGAAGGGGTTTGTGGAGATTTTAGAAATTTTCACAGATGTAAGTCATGAGTCAGTTGAAGCTAGACCACCATTGAAAACCTGGAAGCACTGGACGGCCGTTTCGTCCTAGTATGGGACTCCTCAGCAGTGCGCGTCCCCGGTCCCGCACCATGCGGGGCTCGAACCCAGGACCTACTGGCTTCGCGCGCGAGCACTTAAGCATTAGACCACTGAGCCGGCATCCAACGGTGTTAATGTCTAACTTCAACCAATCCACGAAGTTGCGCCACCATATACCATTGTCTTCAGTGAGCTGATATCTCGCAACAGACCTGGTTGAACTCCACTGGTAACGGCTTCCCACTAGAACTCCAGGAGTATCTCTTGAAGTCAGTCACTAGTGAGCAGATGATTATTATCAGAAGGGGTTTGTGGAGATTTTAGAAATTTTCACAGATTTAAATTATTAAACTAATCAAGGTAGTTTATAAGTGAACGATAACAATGGAAAAGATTACATAATAAGTAAAATGTGAAAAGTACAAATTGATGGTGTAACAACAGATGCATTAGTTTTTGATAAGCAATAATAATAACGGTTCAAATCAATGTTACATAATCTGAAATAGGTCAATGATTAGGAGGAAATATAGGAACTGAGATAACAATTATAAAAGTATAAGATCACTTAATAAGAAATGTTCAGATAATTGGACCATGAAACGTATAGTGGAGAGAAACTAAAGTGGTAGGAGGGTGTGAAGAAAAATCATAAACGAAGAGAAAGTTAGAGAAGGAATAAATAAATTCATTTATTAATTAAGGCCAGGGGGAGAGATAAGGGAGTTACAAATTTCTTCTGAACACAAAGACTTGGCTTGTTGGCTCGGATTCCTATAGCTTCAATAACATATATTATAGACAAATTGATGGTATAGCGATGGGTTCGCCACTAGGTCCCATCCTTGCGGATTTTTTTCTGGCGAAACTAGAAAACGGATCTCTCAAGAAGCTTATCAATAAACTAGATTTCTACTGTCGTTACGTTGATGGCACCTTCATCATTGCGGATCGGAACATTAGAAAAGAACAGCTACTGGAACTATTTATTAACAAACATCCTGCTATTAAATTTACATGTGAGGAGGAAATAGATAACAAACTAAATTTTCTGGACGTTTTGTTAAGTAGAAAAAAAAAGTTCTATCAGCAGGGGTGTGTATAGGAAAAAGTTCTTCTTCAAGCCCATACACACATTTTTTAAGATTTGTGCCTCTTCATTATAAGAGAAACTTAGTGAAATGTCTTGCAAATAGAGCTCTTGAGATATGCTCAGTCGACACTATTGATAGAGAATTACAACACATTGATTGAATTGGGATATCCACTGGGTTTCCTGAAGAAACATTTGCGCGTACAAAACAGGAAAATAGTGACCCTTTAGGCTAATAAGAAACCGCTTTTCTTGAAACTGCAATTCAATGGTGATTTGGCTAGCGATGTATTACGTGATAGATTGACTAGATCAGTAAAGAGAACGTTTAATGCTACCAACCTTTGCCTATCGTATTCGACCCGATCGATGGTGAATCCGCAATTGAAGGATAAGTTACCTGGTTATGCCACTTCTATGTGTATCTTTGAATTTAGCTGCTCCTGTGGAGAAAGCTATATTGGGCGCACTAACAGGCAACTGAATCAACGAGTTAGTGAACACCTCCCTTCGTGGTTAGGAAAAGG